CCAAAATCCAAACACAATCATTTGCCATTGAAGCAATATTGATTCATAGTGACCCCATGTGTTACAGAATAAGATTGCTTTATAGTGTGGCACTGTAAGAAAAGCACTAGGCTGCTATCCACAGTTTGATGGTTCAAACCCACAAGTTGCTTCTTGGAAACCCTAAACAAAGTTGTTATGAGTTGGAACTGACTCAGCAACACATAACAATAATGACATCATAGGGTTTTCTTGGCTTTAATCTTGAACGGAAGGAGATCACTAGACTTTACTCCCACAGAGTTGCTGGGTGGATTCACACCACAAAACTTTAAGTTAGTTATTGAGCTCCACCAGGAATCTTATCAAGAAAGGAAGATGTGAAACCAAACTATTTGGCTCAAATAGTTACTAAGTCAGTGTGCTTCAAGGAACATAAAGGAAGTGAAGCAGCCTGAGATCTAGCAGGGGTAAGGAAAGCACACATTTCTCTGTGAAAGAGTATGCTGTAGATGTACAAGGAATGATGACAGAGTAGACGAAGGGGAAGGAATCAGAATGGGTCAAGCCAAAACATCAGGAAAAGCTATTTGTTGTTGTAGTTGTTAGGTGCCATTGAATTGGTACCGACACATAGCAACCCTATTCACAACAGCATGAAACCCTGCCCGGTCCTGGGACAGCCTCACAATTGTTGCCATGCTTGAGCCCATTCATGCTGCCACTTTGCCAATCCATCTTACTGGGGGTCTTCCTCTTTTTCTCTGACCTTCACCTTATCAAACATGATATCCTTCTCCAGTGACAGGTCTCTCCTGACAATATGTCCGAAGTATGAGAGATGAAGTTGGGCCATCCTGGCCTCCAAGGAGCACTCTGGCTGAACTTTTTCCAACACAGATCTATTGGTTCTTTTGGCAGCCCATGGTACTTTCAGTATTCTCTTCCAACACTATAACACAAATGCATTAATTCTTCTTTGGTCTTCATTATTCACTGTCCAACTTTCACATGCATGCAAGGTTATTGAAAATACCATGGCTTGGGTCAGATGTACCTTAGTCCTCAAGCTGACATCTTTGCTCTTCAACACTTTAAGAAGGTCTTCTGCAGAAGGTTTGCCTAATGCAATAAGTTGTTTGATTTCTTGGTTGCTGCTTCCATGGGTGTTGATGGTTGATCCAAGAAAAATCAAGTCTTTGACAACTTCAATCTTTTCTCCATTGATATGAATTTTGTTTATTGGTCCAGTAGTGAGGACTTTTGTTTTCTTTACATTGAGATGCAATCATACTGAAGGCTGTGGTCTTTGATATTCATCAGTAAGTATTTTAAGTCCTCTTCACTTTTAGCAAGCAAGGTTGTATCATCTGCATATCACAGGTTATTAATGAGTCTTCCTCCAAATCTGATGCCACATTTTTCTTCATATAATCCAGCTTCTCGGATTATTTGCTCAACATACAGGTTGAATAAGTATGGTGAAAGAATACAACCTTGTCACACACCTTTCTTAATTTTAAACCATTCAATTGTTCCCATGTTCTATTCAACTGCCTGTTGGTCCATGTACAGGTTCCTCATGAGCACAATTAAGTGTTCCGGAATACTCATACTTCGCAATGTTGTCCATATGTCATGATCCACACAATTAAAAGCCTTTGTGTAGTCATTAAAGCACAGGTAAACATTTTTCTGATATTCTCTGCTTTCAGCCAAGATCCATCTGACGTCAGCAATGATACCTCTCATTCCTCCTCCTCTTCTGAAAACAGCTTGAACCTCTGTCAATGTAAGCTTGCAGCCATTTCTGTATTACCTTTAGTAAAACTTTACTCGCATGGGATATCAAAGATATTGTCCGGTGATTTCTGCATTCTGTTGGGTCACCTGTCTTTGGAATGGGCACAAATACAGATATGTCTTCCAATTTCTTGAGGTGATGAGTGAGTACCTCCAGTGCCACCTTACTTTGTTGAAAGATTTCAATTTGTAGTCCATCAATTCCCAGTGCCTTGTTCTTTGCCAATTCTTTCAATGCACCTTGCACTTCCTCCTTCACTATCATTGGCTCTTGATCATATGCTACCTCTTGAAATGGTTGAACATCGACCATTTCCTTTTGGTACAGTGACTGTGTGTACTACTTGCATCTTCTTTTGATGCTTTCTGCATCATTCAGTAATTTGCCCAGGGAATCCTTCAATAACAAAAGTCGAGGTTTGCATTGTTTCTTCAATTCCCTCAGCTTGATAAATGCTGAATGAGTTCTTCCCTTTTGGTTTTCTAACTGTAGATCTTTGCAGATTTCGTTATAAACTTTTACTTTGTCTTCTTGAACTGACCGTTGAAATTTTCTGTTCAGCTCTTGGACCTCCTCATTTCTTCGATTTGCTTTAGCATCTCTATGCTGGAGAGCAAGTTTCAGAGTCTCTTCTGACATCCACTTTGATCTTTTCCTTCATCTTTTCCTTCTTTCATGTCTTCTTAATAACCTTTTGCTTTCTTCCTATATGATGTCCTTGATGTCATCCCACAACTCTTCTGGTCTTCAGTCTTTAGTGTCCAATGTATCAAATCTGTTCTTCAGATGATCTCTAAATTCAGGTGGGATACATTCAAGGTCATATTTTGGCTCTCATGGACTGGTTTTCATTTTCTTCAGCTTCAGTCTGAATTTGCATATGAGCAATTGATGGTCTGTTTTACAATTTGCCCTTGACTTTGTTTTGGCTGATGATATGGAGCTTTTCCACCATCTATTTCCACAGTTGTAGTCAATTTGATTTCTGTGTATTCCATCTGGTGAGGTCCGTGTGTATAATCATTTCTTATGCTGTCTAAAGAAGGTATTTGAAATGAACAAATAATTGATTTTGCAGAATTCTACCATGCGCTCTCCAGTACCATTTCTATCACCAAGGCCATATTTTCCAACTACTTATCCTTCCTCTTTGTTTCCAACCTTTGCATTCCAATCACAACTAATGATCACTACATCTTGATTGCATATTTGATTAATTTCAGATTGAAGAAGTTGGTAGAATTCTTATATTTCATCTTCCCTGGCTTTAGTGGTTGGTACATATATTTGAATAATAGTGGTATTAACTGTTCTTCCCTGTAGGAGCATGGATATTATCCTATCACAGACAGCATTGTATCTCATGACAGATCTTGACATGTTTTTTATGATGATGAATGTGACAGCATTTCTCCTCAATTTTGGTATTCCTGGCATAGTAAACTATGTGGTTGTCAGATTCAAAATGGCCAATACCTGTCAATTTTAGCTCACTAATGCCTGGGATATCAATGTTTATGCGTTCCATTTCATTTTTGTTTTGTTTTGTTTTGTTTTTTTGTTCATGTCTTTTATTACTTCATACACAATTACTTGTCTTCTGGTTTAATGAAGCAATAGGTCAGACAACACTTGCCACAGTAATGTCTATCAAAATGGCTAGCCATAAAAACTCCAGCACCATATTCATCTGAAGGACACTCCTGACGAAGGTGACTAATTTTGCCATTCTTGTCCACTTTGTAGTATTTTAGGACAGCCAGCTTAACCTTCATCCTCTTATGCTTATTCTTCTTGGGAGTAGTGTAAGACTTCTTCTTAATTTTCTTAGCGCCACCACGAAGTTTCAACACAAGATGAAGAGTGGACTCCTTTTGAATGTTGTAGTCAGGCAGGGTGAGTCCATCTTCCAGTTGCTTGCCAGCAAAAATCACTCTGCTGATCAGGAGGAATTCCTTCCTTATGCTGGATCTTGGCCTTTACATTTTCGATCGTATCTAGGGGTTCGTCCTCGAGAGTGATCGTCTTCCCCGTTAGGGTTTTTATGAACATCTGCATCTTGGTGGCGGTCCCACCGCAGATGACAGATCAGAAAGGAAGCGCGTTCCATTTCATTTTTGACAATTTCCAATTTTCCTAGATTCATACTTCATACATTCCATGTTCTGATTATTAATGCATGTTTGCAGTAGTTTCTCTTCATTTTGAGTTCATCATCAGCAAATCAAGGTCCTGTGGACTTTACTCCCATTCCGGTCATCACGTTCAACTCTACTTTGAGGAGGCAGCTCTTTCCCAGTCACATTTTGAGTGCCTTCCAACCTGAGGGGTTCATTTTCTGACACTATATCTGACAGTGTTTCTCTGTTATTCATAAGGCTTTATTTAGTGCCTAAATATCCATAAGTAGTTCATCTCTCCTTCTTTCTAGTCTTTCTTCATCTGGAAGCTCATCTGAAACCTGTCCACATGGGTGACCCTGCTAGTATTTAAAATATCTGTGGCATAGCTTACAGAATTACAGCAACTCACAAACCACCACAGTACGACAAACTGACAAATGAGTGGTGGAAGGCTCCTTGTAGGAGCATACATTTAGCTGGTCTTTAAACTGTGAATTGAGCCTGCTATGCAAAAATGATGAGGAGTCCATGTGGCAATGGAGTGTATTTTGCTTGTCCTTTCACATGAATTCTACTCTTAAATCAGAGGTTACAGACCCATTGCTTTTGGGGAGAAAGAGGAAACTGTGAATGATTGACGTCAACTGATGGGGTGTAAGGACTCAGCTGTAGGGTCCAACCATTGCCCAATGCCAACTGATTCTCAACAGAGAGACTAAAACTTTCCTTGTTATGAGAGGAGCCATGTGAAATGTTTACTTATTTTTTTAACTGAGTCAATTCTGAAACTGTTTGAACATTGTGTGGGTCAAAGAAAGCATATCTCTTGGGTTAACTCAGCCTCTTTTGCTAGTGACCCCTACGTCTAAAGCTGTCTATCTCTAAAGCAGCTAAGTCTTGGACTCACCATTTTCTGTAACTGGTTCCAGGTGATGGGGACATACCATGTGCCTAAGAGAATGGAACATGGTGAAGACAATCTATTGGTGCAATCTCTTTGCCCCATAAAGCTTTGAGCTATCATTAGGACTTGTCAGTCTTGCTCACATATATTTTCATGTCCAGACTTCATGCTTGTTTGTGATACCTTTCAGCTTTCCATGGAGATCCAGGACTCCCTGACCTACCACCTACAATCACTGGTAAAGTCAGAGAAGAATCGCCAGATCATGTGTGAGGCCGGCATGCTCAGCATCCTCATTACCACTTGCCACAAGGCCCTAGTCACCAGCAGTCACCCCCTACATCTGGGCCTCATCAGAATTTTTGAGAAGCTTTCCTCACAAGCCATCACACCTGATGTGTTAAGGTACTGTGAGCTGTGTGCTGAATGTATCTGCTGAGCTCTGGACACTGTGTTTGTTGCTGCAAGTGCACACTTGAAAGCAAGAAATTAATGGGGGACTCTGGTGCCCCCTCCCCTCTTTATCCCAGTGTTTATTAATAGATGTCCACATATGAGCACAAGCTTTGCGTCTGGCAGTGTAAGGTGCTGAGACAACACTGCCTGCAAAGTAGACATTATCCTTCATTTCTAGCCCTGAGGTTTTTGGGAGAGAGACGGACATTATTCAAAAGGTCATACAGAAAGCTAGAGAATGATGCTTGAAGAGATACTCAGAGGTACAATCAGGAGTTTGAGGAGTCCAAGGAAGAGAAGCCTAAGCTGAGTTCTTAGGCTGGTGCAGGAGAAGCAGGAATAGGTCACAAATGTATCAGTGAGCAGGGTTGGACCTATGAGCTACTGACTTTGGCTGTTGGAAATTAGGCATGAGGGGCAGTGGGAAGGTAGGCCAGAGGCATGGCAGAAGAACCTGCAGGGGACTTTGACTAGAAGAGAAAACAAAGACAGTACTTGGTGAGACCTGTTCATAGACAGGCCCTCTGTGAAGCCACATATTTCTGGAAAGGCAAGAGGGATTAAACATAGTAGATTTTTAAAAGTCAGAGCAAAGAAAGGATGCAGGAGGAAAGGGTGGTAATCTCCTAAGTATCACTGGCCTTGCCTCACCTCCCCCATGCTGTCGCATGCTTACAAATAGGAGTACTGGGGATGGGGCTGTTAACAGAGTCACCCAGCCAACAAGCATGAGACTGAGAGGTTGACCAACATAGGGGCAGTCCCAGGGCCAGGCCAGTTTCCTCCAAACTCAGGTACTGAGGGTTGACAGACAAATCCACCATGCTTAGTTGAGCTGTTTTGTTAATTTCATTAGAAACTTGTAAGGTTATTTTCAGCAAATTACTTTTCCTGCTAAGGCCCAGTTTGAGTCTTCTCCTTGAGCTCTGGTTAGATCAGAGCCCTTAAACTTGGCAGCTCTTTTTTCTTGGTGGCAGCACAGGGATGATCCATTAGGACGGCTTACAGGAAAGGTATTCAAGGCAGAGGGAGGGGCAGTGCTGTGTGACTAGGTAAGTGGTCAAGAGGTACTTAGAGAGAACTGTTGCCTATAAACTGTCTTCATTTGCTTCTCTTTTATGTTATGCTATCAGGAAGTTTCTAAGCCTTGGAATTCCCCCACCTGCATCAGTTGCCACGAAAATTCTCAATCTGTCTGGTGTGCATAGAAGTGACTTGGGATGCACAGGTGAGTGCAGAGGAAAGGGTAGGCACTTATTAATGGGAATTTTAAAGGAAGATAGTTCTCAGCAGGTAGAAAGACAGGTGGAAAAAAAAGTTTTGCATAGTACTCAATGAAGCAGATGAGGAAAATGTGGGAACTGGTGGTGACCTGGGAAAGCACTAGGCATAGGAGAGAAAGCTGAGCTTCAACCCTCCTTTACTGGACACATTATGGTGAGTATATCCCTGATGCGGCAAATCTTGCAAACAGAACAGTGCTGTCATCAAAGCTAATATATGTGGGAGTGACTCCAACTGTGACTGTATGGAGGTCATGGTAAAGGCTTTCAGCATGAGTCACAGCTCCAGGGCAGAAGAGTGTCCCCAGGTAGGTGGTCTGCCCTAGGACAGATGACATTGCAAGGAACTAGGATGACATTGCAAGGAAAAAATTTCATGGAAATGTGACACTTTAAAGTGTTGTAGAACTTTAAAGCCAGAAGGCCTGGTTGAAAAGGCAGAGTGGAGCTGTGTGTGTGGAGGTGTTCAGGAGGTGGGAGACAGAGCCTGTGAGTAGACAGTCTGTTGTGAAGGGAAAGTCTCAGGGGTACCATGCTAGGTACAAGCATGCATGGCAGGGACATCTAGCATTAAAGAGAGAAGTGGAGAAATCGTTGTCAAGATGGCTCTCTATTACCACAGAGGGCCCCAGTGGGAGCGACAGAAGGTGACCCAAAGGTGGTAAGAAAAGCCTGGTGGTTTTGTAGAACCTTCTTCTGCGATGTGGCAGAAATGTAGTGTCCAAGTGGTGTACTGTCCAAAACAGTTTGCACTCACTGTAGCATAGTGGTTATGAATTGGGCTGCTAACCTCAGGGTCAGCAGTTTGAAACTACCAGTTGTCCTATGGGACAAAGATGAGGCTTTCTGCTCCCATAAAAATTTACAGCCTTGGAAACCCTGTACAGGGTCACTATGAGTCAGAACCAACTCCATGGCATATAACAACAACAACAACAACAACTAACCTAAGGTTGGTGGTTCAAACCCACCTAGTGATCCTATAGAAAACTGGTCAGGTGATCTGCTCCCATAAAGATTATAGCCAAGAACATGTTATGAAATAGTTTTGTTCTGTACCACGTGGGGTTGGAGTCGATTTGACAGCAACAGGTTTGGGTTTATCAGAAAACAAATGCGTTGAGCAAGGGTACATACATCTCTTCACTTGTTTGCTGCCTTAGGAACGGAGGCAGCAATGCCAGGTGTTGCAGAGGGTCCCACGGATTCTGGCTCTGGAGTCTCAGAGGCCCTCAGGCCCTCAGAAGTGTCTCCCAGCTCAACAGCTGCCCTCCAGACCATGCTGAGTATCATCTCCATGACCTCCCCTCGAAACCTGCAACCTCAGAGGACAGCCCTGGCTCCATCATTTGTGGAATTTGACATGTCTACAGAAGGCTATGGGTACAGCAGGCTTTGTATGTTTGCAACATCCTTTCATAATGCTCCAATGATACAGGGCAATTCTAGTGTCAACTGCACATGTTTCCACCAGATGTTGGCACTCAGCCCAAGAAGATGATTGGGTTAGGGATATTCTCCATGACTTCCTGGAACAGCAGTCTGGCAACGGGTGTGGCCATATTCCAAATACCCTCTCTATCTGCTTCCAGCATGGATTCTGTCCTTTAGGGCCCATCCTACCACAATATGCTTGGGCCTTTTCGGTGTAATGGGGGCAGAAGCACCTGGGAAGCACGGGGCTGGGGAGGGTCAATTCTACTTATGACCATGTGAAAGATTTGTATGGGGTACAGTGATCTTAGGAAGTTTCCTTTTTTCCAGCTGCCTGTTCATTCCAACTCTGTGTATGATTATGGGAACCAGCACTGAGTATTCAGTCTCTGGAGGTATTGGGACAGGTAGGTATTTCCCACATGCTGTGGCCCACTGAGCCCTCCCCATCCCATCAATAATAGTTATTGGATAGCCTTGAGTTCAGATTTTTCCTTGCATCTCAAGAAAGCATGAACCTTCTCCATGGTCCTGAGAATCTGTAGTTGAGTTGTTCCTGCAGAAGGTAACTCAATTCATGTGCCTATTTGGCAAGGGTGGCCTGTTCATTGTGCCTTCTATGTCCCAGGATACTGCTCTGAAATGTTTACAAACTGCATGCATGATTTGGTTGATATGGACTGAAATGGAGGTGTCCACCCTGCCTCCCCCTCTCTCCTTCAAGAGCACTATGAACTCTGTACTGGTTGCCACCCAGGAACAGGCTTGACTTTGGCAAGTAGCTCACATGAGGACTGCATAGTGTTGTGCTCAGCTGAAAACACACTGACCAAGAATAGTGCAAGTGCCTAGGGCTGCGGAAGCCATGCACCCTCTGCAATGAGAAACCATTGCCTTTGTGGTTCATTAGCACCTAAGCATAGTTCCCACCTAATCAGCACACAAAGCTACTTGTTCTGCCGTTCTCCCAAGGCAACATGCCCTGTCTGCATTGCACATCCTATTAGGGGAGAGCTGAGCTAGGCCATTGTCCTCTTGCCCTTTATGTTACATATGACCTGCCTGTTGGTAAGATGAACAGAGGGTCTAAAAACTGATGCAGATACAGAGGTAGTGGCCCTCTCTCTGGTCCCTTGTCAAGGTAGCTTGAGGTAATGGGTAGTTATTGAGGGCTTAGAGTCAGTTCATGTGGAAATATTGCTTGTTTTTTGTGAGCCTACTCCTGATAATAAAAATAACAACTTTGTTACCCCCTGTTGTGAGGTTGCTGTAACATATTGCTTGAGTTAGTGGAGGGAAATAGTAGGTCCATGGCATGAGGTGCATCACAGCTTCCATGAAGGTAAATATGCGCCAATGCCGAATGAAGTCTAAGGACCTGTTTGTGTTCTGACACCAGGTACTGCCAGACCCTTCCCTCCCCCTGGGGGCCTGACCTTCTCTTGCTGGTTCCTGATTGACCGACATGGTGCTGCCCATGATGGACACCCACTCCGCTTTCTCACACTGGTGCGCCACCTTGCCAGGACTGAGCAGTCATTCATCTGTCTCGCCATCAGCCTCTGCTCTGATGATCTATCCTTGGTTGTGTCCACGGAGGAGAAAGAATTCCAGCCCTTGGGTAAGGTTTGGGAATCCAGTAATAAATCAAATGTGGCTTAATTACAATATCTAGGCACACACACAGCTAGAAGCCTGGGTACCTCTGCTCCTCCCAGTCTTCTGAAATTGTTCACCTGAGTTCTATATCTGGTGAAACATCAAATCAAAGATTTGTTGAGTGCCTATTTGTGGTCCAGGTGCTGGATTATGATTGTCCTTCCATGTCTTCAGAGGCCTGGTTTCCTAGAAACTCAGTACTGTCCTGGCTGTGTGGTGGTCATATATAAAACTTAGGGTTTTACCACTCTGGAACACAGACTGTGTCATATTCATAACAAGGTTTGTGAAGAAAGCACACAACTTAGCAAGATCTGCATGAAATTGGTTGCTGTGGTGGAATTACTGTCTTCCATGTATGAGACCTAGTTTTGATGCCCAGCCAATGAATCTCATGCACAGCCACCACCATCTGTTAGTGGAAGCTAGTGTGTTGCTCTGATGCTTAAAATGTTTCCGCTGGGCTTCCAAACTAAGATGGACTAAGAAGACCTGGACATTTACTTCTGGAAGATTATCCATTGAAACCCTATGGATCACAGTTCTACTCTGACACACATAAAGTCACCATGAGTCAAAATCAATTACAAGGCAACGGTTTGGTAGCACAAAATAAGAGCTCAATGAAAGATTGCTGTTGTCATCGTCATTGCTATAGAGAGGAGGGACTAGAACGAGGTGGTGGTGTTGGAGGTGAAAAGTCCACATTGGTTGACTTGGAAAACCATCCCTCAGTTCTCTATGGTTGATGCAGCACACATGTGAAGACTTGCAATTGTGCTCTCTTCCAGATACCATGGAGCCTGAGGATGGTGCTGAGCCTTCTGCGGGATGCCAGCTCCAGGTCAGGTGTGGGCAGCTGCTGAATTGTGGCCAGTGGCATCACCTAGCTGTGGTGGTCAGCAAGGAGATGAAAAGGAATTGCACTGTTTCCACCTATCTGGATGGACAAATCATTGGATCAGCCAAGGTGAGAAGGCCCTCTGAGGTAAATATCCTCACACAATTGAACATCCCTGTTGTGCCACCCAATTTCTTGGTAGCTAATGTAATCCAACCTTGGCTGGCAGTATACTCAGAAATAAAAAGGACCTCTTTATAAAATGGATGAAAGTCACACAAGGGCAGAAGACAAAAAATTGGCATAGACCTAAAAAAATATTTTTTTTAAATCGTTGCCATGAAGTCAACTCTGATGCATGTGTGTATAAGTAGAGCTGTACCCCATAGGGTTTTTAATGGTTGATTTGTGTGAGTGTGTGTATGAACCGAGTGAAGGTTCATAGAACAAACCATCAGTTTCATTTAGCAGGAAAATGTTTTGTTTTTTCCGCATTTTACATTTTACAACAGTGGCCTCAGATAGTATTTGTCCTTTTGTGATTGACTAACTTTACTAAGCTTCATGTCCTCTAGGCTCATCAGTGTTGTGAGGTGTTTTGCAGATTTATCACAATTCTTCAATGTTGGGTAATACTGCATTATGTCCCAAAATTTGTGTAACCATTCTTCTGTTGATGGACATTTAGTCTGTCTCCATCTTTTTGCTGTTGTGACTAGTGCTATTGTGAATAATGGACATTGGTGTGCATACATCTAGTTATGTCACAGCTCTTCTTTCTTGATGATATATTCAAGGTAGAGATATTACTGGGTCATACAATATTTTTATTTCCAATTATTTACTTTAATTTATTTATTTAAAAAAGTTTTAATGTGAATTGATTGAAGGTTTACAGATGTTTTACATTTAGCAAATACTACACTGCTTCATCGCAAAGATTTCAATTCCCTCCATGGAACAATGGTTATCCCACTTCCTCCATGTGGTTCCTATTTCCAGCCCACCCACCTTCCCATTCCTTTTCATATTGTCCTTAGGTATATGTCGCCCCTTTGATTTTGAATGATTGACCACTCTATTGTTCATAATGAGCATACCTTACTAGTGTTGTTTCCCTTATCTACGAACTGGATGAAACTTGGCCCATGAGACCTGAAGGGCAGTTTAGGGCTATGGGTCTCAGGTTCTTCCAGTCTCTTTGTGACTAGTAAGCTGAACTTGTTTTAAAATTATTATTTAATAATTTTGAGTTTTGTCTCACACATTCTGCCACTCAACTAATGTGGTCCCTTTCAGAGCAATTGGTAGTGGGAGTTGGGTGCCATCTAGTTTTTCTGGTCTCAGAGTTGTGGAGATTGAGATTGCAATTTTTCACCAGGGTGCACCATTTTACAGTCCCACCAGCAGTGTAGACATGTCCCAGTTTCTCCACACCCTTGCCAGCATTTGTTGTTCTCTGTTTTTTGAACTTTGTTATTAATGCTGGAGTAAGATGATATATCTTTCTTGTTTTGATTTGCATCTTCTTAATGACTAACATTCAACTGTACTCATGAGGAGTCTGTACATAGACCAAGAGTCAGTTGTTAAAACAGAACATGGGAACACTGAATGGTTTAAAATTAAGAACGTGTGAGACAGTGTTGTATTCTTTCAACATACTTACTCAACCTGTATGCTGAGGAAATAATCCAAGAACCTGGGTTATATGAAGTAAAACATGGCATCAGGATTGTAGGAAGACTCATTAACAACTTGAGATATGCAGATGATACAACCTTGCTTGCTGAAAGTGAAGCAGACTTAAAATATTTACTGATGAAGAACAAAGAGCACAGCCTTCGGTATGGATTACATCTCAATGTAGAGAAAACAAAAATCCTCACCACTGGACCAATAACCAAAATTCATATCAATGGAGAAAAGATTGAAGTTGTCAGGGACTTCATTCTTCTTGGATCAACCATCAACATGTACTGTGGTTTCAATTTGCATTTTCTTAATGGATAATGATGGTGAACAGCTTTACCTTTGCTTATATACCTTGTGTATATTCTCCTAGGTGAAATGCTTCTTCATGTCTTTTGTTGATTTTCTATTTGAATTACTATTAATGGTTAAGTTTTAACAGTTCTTTATATATTCTAGATGTTAGTTCTTTGTTGATCATAGTGTTTCCAAATATTTTCTCCTAGTATGTAGCTTGTTTTTTCATCTTTCTTACATAGACTTTCACTGAGCAAACATTTTTTATGATGTCTCATTCACCAACTCTTCATTTTATTGATCATAATGTGCATAGCCCTAAATCTTGAAGACTTTCTCCTAAAAATTCCTAGTTTTGCACTTTATATTTGCTTATAATCCATTATGAGTTAGTTTTTGTATAAAGTGTTAAATTTAGGTTGTAGTTAATTTCTTTGTCTATGGATGTCCAGTTGCTCCCATACCATTTGTTGAAAAAGCTTCACTTCTTCCACTGAATTACTTTTGTACCTTTGTCAAAATTAAGTTGAGCATTTTTATGTGGGTCTATTTCTGGATGCTCTGTCCAATTCCATTTCTACCTCTTTGCCAATACCGCAGTATTTCAGCTACCATAACTATATGTCATTGAGTCAGTTCCAACTCACAGCTACCCTGAGTAGGATTTTCAAGGAGCGACTGGAATTATTCTACACCACCACACCAAGACCCTCTAAACACATATGCTGTTGTTGTTGTTAAATATCATCAAATTTGTTATCAGTGCTTATCCTGCACTGCCATACCAGGATCCTCTAACTATATATGTTGTTTTTGTTGATAAGTGTCGTCGAATTGTTTCCAACTCACAGATACCCTGTATAGGGTTTCCAAGGAATGGTTAAGTTTGAACTGCTGACCTTGAGGTCAGCAGTCCAGTGATTATCCTACAGCACCATACCAGGACCCCTATAACTATATAAAGAAAGTTTTATATAGAGTTGTTCCTCATATGCCATTCTTTTTCAGGGTTATTTAAAATATCCTAGGGACACAGTCCCATATAAATTTTTAGAATTAGTTTGACTCTATGCTGAAAAGAACATTTCAAGATCTATCCTAAAGTACAATGCTATATATGATAGGATAATAGCTATACACCTTCAAGGAAGACTAGTTAATAAAATTAGTATTCAAATTTATATGCCAGCCACTAAAGATTGTTGTTATTGTTAGGTACCATTGAGTCAGTACTGACTCACAGTTACCCTGTGCACAACAGAATGAAACACTGCCTGGTCCTGCATGAAATTCACAATAATTGCTCTATCTGAGCCCATTGCTATTGCTGATGTGCCAATCCATCTCATTGGAGAGCTTCCTCTTTTTCTCTGATCCTCAATTTTATAAAAAAATGACATTCTTTTCCAGGGACTGGTCCCTTCTGATAATATATCCAAAGTATGAGAGATGAAGTCTGGCCATCTTAGCTTCCAAGGAGCACTCTGGCTGTACTTCTTCCAACACAGATCTGTTTGTTCTTTTGCCAGTCCATTGTACTTTGAATATTCTCCTCCAACACCTTAAATCAAATGCATCAATTTTTCTACGGTCTTCATTATTCACTTTCCAGCTTTCACATGCATATGATTTTTAGTATTTATTGAAAATACTAAAGATAATGATGAAGAAATTGAAGAATTCATCTAACTCCTTTAGTTTAAAATTGATCAAACATACAATCAAGCTGAGTTGATAATTTTGGAATGGAATGCAAAAATTGGAAGTAAAGAGGAAGAATCAATAGTTGGAAAATATGGCCATAGTTATAGAAGTGAAGCTGAGGATCAAATGATAGAATTTTGTAAGACCAATGACTTATTAACTGTAAATACCTTTTCTTTTCCAACAACATAAACAGTGATTATACAACTGGACCTTGCCAGAAGAAATAAACAGAAATTAGATTGACTACATTTGTGTGAAGAGACAATGTTGTTTGTTGTTGTTGTTAGGTGCCGTTGAGTTGGTACCAACTCATAGTGACCCTATGCATAGCAGAATGAAACACTGCCCGATCCTGGGCCAACCTCACTACAGTTGCCACGCTTGAGTCCATCGATGCTGCCACTTGGCCAATCCATCTCTCTGGGGGTCTTCCTGTTTTTCTCTGACCCTCCACCTTACCAAACATGATGTCCTTCTCCAGCGACTGGTCCCTCCTGACAATATGTCCGAAGTATGAGAGATGAAGTTTGGCCATCCTGCCATCCAAGGAAGCCTCTGGCTGCACTTCTTCCAAAATGGATCTATTGATTCTTTTGGCAGCCCATGGCACTTTCAGTATTCTCCTGCAACATCATAACTCAAAAGAATTAATTCTCTTATGGTCTTCCTTATTCACTGTCCAGCTTTTGCATGCATATGAGGTTATTGAAAATGCCATGGCTTGCATCAGGTGCACCTTAGTCCTCAAGCTAACATCTTTGCTCTTCAACATTTAAAAAGGTCTTGTGCAGCAGATTTGCTTAATGCAGTACGTCCTTTGATCGCTTGACTGCTGCTTCTGTGAGTGTTGATAGTTGATTCAAGAGGAATGAAGTCCTTGACAACTTCAATCTTTTCTCCATTGATAAGAATGTTGTTTATTGGTCCAGTGGTGAGGATTTTTGTTTTCTTTACATTGAGATGTAATCCATACCAAAGGCTGTGCTCTTTGATCTTCACCAGTAAATGTTTTAAGTCCTCTTCACTTTCAGCAAGCAATGTTGCATCATCTGCATATCTCAGGTTATTAATGAGTCTTCCTCCAATCCTGATGCCACATTTTTCTTCATAGAATCCAGCTTCTCGGATTATTTGCTCAGCATACAGGTTGAATAAGTATGGTGAAAGAATACAACCTTGTCACATACCTTTCTTAAATTTAAACCATTCAGTGTTCCCATGTTCTGGTCAAACAACTACCTCTTGGTCCAGGTACAGATTCCTCCTGAGCACAATGAAGTGTTCTGGAAGAGACAACAGAGAAGCTCAATATCATCAGTTAAAACAAGTCAAAGGACCAACTGTGGTACAGACCATCAATTGTTCAAATGTAAGTTCAGGTTGAAGCTGAAGAAAATTAAAACAAGTCCACTAGAGCCAAAATACAACCTTGA